AATTTGAGAGGATTATGAGGGGGTGGAGTCTAGTCTGTCAATTGGATCACAGCCAATGAAGCTTCTGTGTGGGCATAGTCTTCTCCTGAGAATTCTGGGAAGTCTGGTATTTCCTCCTTGGAGGTGGGAGACTCTCTGCTCACACCCTGGGAGACATTGCAAGTGACAAGACACATGGACCCACCCAGATGCATCCCTGGGTGCTGAGAAGCCATGCAGAGGCCCCTGCCAGCACTGAGATGTTTCCAATGACACTGGATCCAAAGACTTTCTACCCACTGGCCTGTGATCGTCTGCATTCAGCATCATTGCATGTTTCGTGAGTCTGAAGAGGACTTTATAGATTGGTATCGGACATATGGGCTAATATCGGACTTGATCTGGGCTGGACTGGGATGTTTTCTCAATGTTCAATTGCTCTTGTATATAAATCTCTTTCTTATACACATATGAGTGTCCACGGATTTGTTTCTTTAGTCTACTCAGACTAACACAGAGCTGAATGAAGAATCTCAAAGGGAAGTCCAAGATGACAAAGCCAAATATTGTAACAAAATGTGCAAGGGCCTAGAATTAGAAAAATAAAAGGGAAGAACAGGCTCAGTCTATCTGAAACTGAAAGACCTCAGGTAAAAATTCAAGCCTCAAGTTGCAATCTTGAAAGATTCTAAGGTCAAACACTGAATGGTACAAGAACCATCAAGAGAAGATGGAAAGAATAGAGTCACTGTACCAAATAAGCCAGTCAATACTCTGTAATTTCAGGAGGTAGGAAATATGCGCAAGACTCAATGGTGCTGAAGGAAGAAGTTCACACTGCACTGGATGCGTTAGCCAAAAATAAGGCTCCAGGAATTGATGGAATACCCATTGCAATGTTTCAGAAAACTGAAGAAGCCCTGGAAGCACTCACTGGTGGCCTATGTCAGGAAATCTGGAAGACAGCTACTGGTCAACTGGCTGGAAGAGATTCATATTTGTACCCATTACAAAGAAAGGTGACCCAGCAGAATGTTCAAACTAAAGAAAGGTAACATCGATATTGCATGCAAGTAGTTTTTTGCTTAAGATCATCCAACAATGTTTGCAGCAGTCTTTTGACAGGGAACGCCAACAGTTCATGGCAGATTCATAAGAGAACACGAAACGGGGACTATCATTGCTGTTAGATGGATCTTGGCTCAAAGCAGAGAATACAAAAACTATGTTTACTTGTGTTTGATGAACTATGCCAAGGCAAATGTGTGTGGACCACAATAAACTGGACAGCCTTGAGAAGAACGGGAATTCCAGAACACTTCATTGTGCTCATGAGGAATTTGTACATAGGTCAAGAAGCAGTCATGTGGACAGAATAAGGAAATACTACATGGTTCAAATTCTGGAAAAGTGTGCACCAGGGTTGTATCCTCTCACTATAATTCTTAAATCTGTATCTGGGACAAATGATCAAAGAAGCTGGCATATCCGAGGAAGAATGTGGTATCAAGATCGGAAGGTTTATTAACAACCTTTGATATGCACATGGCACAGCCTTGCATCCTGAAGGTTAGGACTTGCAGCACTTGCTGATGAAGATCAGGGACTGTAGTCTTCAGTAGGGATTACAACTTAATGTAAGTAAGGCCCAAATCCTCAGAACCAGACCAATAAGTAACATCGTGGTAAATGGAGAAAGGGTTGGAGTTACCAAGGATTTTACCTTGATTGGATCCACAAAGAATGTTCTTGGAAGCAGCAGTCAAGAGATCAAAAGACGTGTCACATTAGGTAAATGTGCTGCACAAGACCTTTTTAGAGTATTGAAAAGCAAGGGTGTTACTTTGAGGACTAAGGTGCACCTGACCCAAGCCATGCTATTTTTCCATTGCATCACATGTATGTGAAAGTTGGACACGGAAGGAGGAGGAAGAAGGACGAGTGCAGAAGAATTGATGCATTTGAATTGTGGTGCTGGAGAAGAATCTGAAAGTACCACGGACTGATAAAAGGATAAACTGATCTGTTTGGAAGAAGTAAGGCCAGAGTGTCCTTTAGAGGCTAGATGGCAAGACTTTGTCTCACAGACTTTGGCTATATTGTCAGGAGAGACTAGTTCCCTGAGAAGGACATTATGCTTGGTGAAGTTTAAGGACAGTGACAATGAGGGAGACCCTCAAGGAGGTGGACTGACACCAGGGCTCCAACAATGGGCTCAAGCATAGGAACAATTGTAAAGATGGTGCAGGACTACACTGTGTTTTGTTCTGTTGGGTATAGGGTTGCTGTGGGTTAGAACCAACTAGAGAAGACCTAACAACACCCTTTTGTGTACACACACACAATATATATATATACATATATATTTGTTTTATATATGTATTATATATACAATTATATAACCAAGAAAAACCAGAGGGCCATATAATTATATTATTTGAGCAAAGTAAGCACTTCTTTAAAATAAATTATCTCAACAGTTTATACCATCTGAACCATAAAAAAAAAAAGAAAGAAAGACCTTCTAGTCTCTTTGGCAACTAAACCAAATCCAAACTCACTGCTTCAAGTTAATTCTGACCCACAGCAACCCTATGTAGGGTTTCTGGCTTCCAAGACTTGTTTAAAATCATTCCAAACTCTCACTCTGAAGGTACTCTCTTTGCCAGATCTTTGTTGTTCCAGTTGTATGGGAATTGGGACTTTCCCACTGACTCATCTGATTCCTTTACAACTCCTGCCTGCTATCTCCATAGAGTTTTATTAGAGACTTACAGTAATTTATAGCTTCTTGTTTGGGTAGGCACTTGTCTTACATAAGAAGCAGGTCAACTTGATTGCAAAATAACAAGGTCCCTGGGGGATGGACAGCAGAGAAGAGGGTGGAGGGAAACATCGGACAGGGTAACTTATGACAAAACTATAATAATTTATGAACTATGAAGGGTTCATGAGGGAGGGGGGAGCGGGGAGGGAGGGGGAAAATGAGCAACTGATATTAGGGGCTAGAGTGGGAGGCAAATGTTTTGAGAATGATGAAGGCAACAAATGTGCATATGTGCTTGACACAATGGATTGTGATGAGAATTGTACGAGCCCCCAATAAAATAATTAAAAAAAAATAAGGTCAGTTTGTCCTATTGTTCTTAGGCTTGTTATTCTAGGTCTTCTTTTTTTTTTTAAATATTTGTAATTAGCTCTGGCTATTCTTTAAAAAGTTAATTTAAAGATAACAGATATTTAAAAGTCCTAGATATTTTTATTAAAATATTTTACTTTCTAGGGTAGAAAAAGTTGAGCAGAAAGTACAGGGGTTTTCAGATACTCCTCTCCACCTGCCCAGTGTCACACAATCTTTTATTGAAGCGATCCATTGATTGATGAACCAGTGTCAATACATTCTTAACTGAAGCACATAGTTTACATGAGGGTTCACTCTTTCTATTGGACAGGTCTACTGGTTTTGACAAATGCTGTTCATGTCTCCACCACTCCTGTATTATACACACACGTTTCACTGCCTTGGGCTCCAGCCATTCATCCCTCCTCTCTTCACCACCGCCAGCAGAATCCCCGAGAGGCCTGATCTTTTTATTGCCTCGACATTACTGCCTTTCTTAGAATGAAGTATAGTTGGAATCATAAGTACATAGTCTTCTAAGACTCGTTTCTTTAATTCAGCACTTATATTTATGGCACCTCCATGTCTTTTTCTTGGTTTGCTGGCTCCCTCACTTTTATCACTGAATAAATAGCTCCTTCTTTGGATAGATCATGGCTTAACTATTCACCAATTGAGGGACAATTTGGGACAATTGTGAGGAGCGCTGGCAAAGACATTTGTGTGTAGGTTTTTATGTGGACACAGGCAGCTCATTTGGGTAAATACCTAAGAGAGTGATTGCTGGGTGGGACAAGACCCTGTTTATCTGTGTAAGAAAATGTCCAAATATATTCCAAAGTGGCTGTATCATTTTGCAATCCCACCAGTAAGGAATGAGAGGGTTCCTGTTGCTTTACATTCTTGCCAGTATTTGGAATTATCACTGTTTGGGAAACGAGCCATTTTAATGCATGGGAAGTGGTATTATGATGTAAAAACTCAATTTTTACGATACAAACTACTATAATATTTAGTTAATGACATGTCTATCCATTACATTCAAAGAATTAAAAAAGTACATATCCATACCACAAAAGAATTGAGAAGAAATTCACTGGGAGGAAGTCAGAAAAATAGAGAGAATAAAAAGAAAACGGTTAGTACAAGACATCTGAGCATCTATTGTGCATCTCCTAATTTTTCTCATCAAAAGAGACATTGTCTACCAGGGTATCTTCCCAGTGCTAAAGACATTTCTTTCACGTGTTTCCTTGGGCAGAGCGGTCACAGCCCGGCAGAGAGAGCCATTCTTTTGCCCACCCTAGCATCCTCCTCCTCCATCTAGCCCCCTATCAAATAGAGACTGTCTGTTCCTCACAGGTTTCTGAAAGCCATTGTATACTTAAAAAAGGAATAGTTAGCAACATTTTGTATAGACATCAAATGTGTAACTGATAGATGCTACTAAAAAGGACCTTAGAACATGTCATGAGTTCCCCACTGGAAAACAAAAGTTAATACTTCAACCACCTGATTTAAAAATAGTATACCTTCTAGGGATTCAGAGAGTCAAAACAGGAAAATGAAAGCCTGGTTTTCCGTGTTCACAGGCTGGATTAATTTAGCCAGCTGAGAGAGACAAAAGTTGATCTTATTTTTACAAACTACTTGTGAAAAAGATTTCATAATCTCTCTGAGTAAACTGTTTCCACACTGAATGACTTTTAGTGGCAAAACTCCATTTTCCTAAATTAGAGGTTAACTCTCTTAGTGTTTAAAATTTAATATAAGACAGACACCACATAGTCAGAGGTAAGATGACACAGGATAAGGAGCAACGTTATGGTCGTAGTTCTGTGACCTCCCTCCCTCCCTCCCCACTCCCAGAATGTATCTCAGTAGATCCTTAGAAATGTACCTCTGCCAACTGAAAGAGTGCAGATTTTCCACAGCGTTTTACAGGCTCAGCACCACCCAACTGCGAAGTGTTTGAAGAAATCTATGTAGAAAACAATTCACATAAGAAACATTAAGTGTGAGACCACATCTTTGGGTTGCATTCACATACATTAGAAATATTCACAGTGTCACTGCTCATTAACATAGTTTACAAGAGCATCGCTGCTTACAAACATCAAGTAGCTTCAATTCTGTGGGTCATGATGGAGAGCATCACTTTGAGAACCATGTTAGTCAATAGCTTCCAGGCAATAGTAATGCACCAAACATGTTGTAGGAGGAACTATACATTTCAAGCATTAAATTTAACTTCATAACCTTTAACCACAGATTTTCATTTCTATGGCTATTTAAGTACCAACCTATCAACCGGCTGAGTGTACAAAGAGAGTTATGTTGCATTTACCAAAATAATTTTAATTAAACAAACAAACATATCTGGGATTCTTGTGAAAAGAGTATCAAATCAGTTAACAAATATTTCTTTAAGAATCCAACATCTATGGCTGGGGAATATGACAGGAGCTATTGGCCATGGTTGTACAGAATTTGCCCTGAAGCAGGGGAGGGGAACGTCTGAGCACGTGTAAGACCTGAGAAATCACCAACACCAGCTCACATCACACACCCCACTACGGAGAGACCATGCCAGCTACCCATTAAGGGTGTGTAGGGATGAGTTAATGAAATGTTTGACCAGTAAGGACCATTAATGATACAATATTTACATGATCCTTGGGAGAAAAAAATGTTCCCCACCCCCGTTCTAAAGTCATGCAAAGACTTTAGAATCAGGATTCGGAATTTAAATAAATACTAGGCGCAAGCACCAATGTTGCAGTACATCAATTATACAGGTGGTCTCAGACTAACGAATGATGTATTCTCATTACCAAAACTACGCTTATGGCTGTCTTGTCTTTTCTGTATGTCTTATCATCAGTAATATGTTTTTTCTGTACATCTTATCATTACTAACTGTGTACAATGTTGCAGTGGATAATTTGCTTATGTTATCAGTCTCAGATGTTCCCTCACAGATGTTCAAAGATTGGATTTAAAAGATACTGATAATAGAAGGCAATAAAAAAAAAAAAAGGTATTCAACTACCATCAGAATTGACTTAGCTGAGTCATCAGATGGGGACTGGAGACGATTCTGACAAATTTGGCATAAAAGCAAGTAGACACCCTAACAATGAAAAGCACCCTCCCTTTCTTATTTTTACAAGAAAATTCCTTTTTCAATTTTATGCCTAACTCAGCAAAGTTCTGAAAATAACGTATCTTTTACAAAGGATCTTCATAAAATAATCCTGTCCTGGAACTGCTCTGTCATCATTAGCCAGCTCTTCTTAGGCTTTGCCATTCTTCATGATTTCGAATTCCCTTTCTTGGTTTTATACAGAGCCTGGATTGGTTACGGGGGTAATCCCACCTGTGGCTGCATCTCTGCCCAGCAAACCCTCTGCCACTGAGCTGATTGCAACTCATTGTGACCCGAGAGGACAGAGCCGAACTGCTCCCTAGGGTTTCTGAGACTAAATCTTTAGGGGAGAAAATGTCTCATTTCTCTCTGGTAGAGTGAATGGTGGATTCCCCTAGGGGGGCTTACGGTTAGCAGACCAAAGCATAACCCAGTTACCACTATCAGAGCTCCTCGTATCATTACAAAAGCCCAAATCAAACTTATTAACACTGAGTCAATCCTGACTCACAGCAGCACAGAGTAAAACTGCCCTGTGGAAGTCTGAGGCTGTTAATCTTTATTGCTGCCGCTGTTAAGTGACGTGAGTCAGGTCTAACTCGTAGTGACCCTGTGGACAACAGCACAGAACACTGCCCAGTTTGGCGCTGTCCTCACAACTACTGTTAGGTAGTCTGAACCTGTGAGTTTTGACCAGCAAGCTGGGAGTTAGCCGTCCAGCGTGTAACCCACTCCTTGTATCATTACCCAGAACCAAATTCATTACCAGCAAGTCAGCTTTGACTCACAGCGACCCTGGAAGATAGGGTAGAACAGCCTTCTGGGTTTCTGAGAGTAGTTCTTTATGTGATTACAAAGTCTCATCTTTTTCCCTCGGAATGGCTGATGATTTTGAACTGATCTTGTGATTAACAACCCAATATGTAACCGATTATGCCATCAGGGCTCCTTGTGCCATTACAGAAGGTGTCAAATTCCACTGGGGATTTCCAGAGTTGTTGACCACTCAAGGAGCGACTGGGGTGCTGGCTGTTGGGAGTGTGCTTTGTAAGAGGCTTTGGGGAGACATTTAAAAGCCACCAGTCAATTAAGTTTTGGAAGATTTTTCCTTAACTCCCATCAGTTTGAAGGGCTGTGTCCTATTCATCCCACTGATTCAGGTTTTCTTAAGAAGATAAACTTATGGGGTTGAGTCTTTCTGAAGGCTTGGAATATTTTCTTCTAGCTGAATTTTCATTGACAAATATCACTTCTCTCTTTCCTAGACAGGTTGAATTCAATTGCTCACCTTATCTCTAGACTAAGAGAAAACAAACACATTAATACAGCTGCCTTTTAGCAACTTAAGGAAATAAAGGACTGAACACAAACACCAGGGCCCGAGTCAAGGCTGGATAATAGAAGGGCACAGCCTTTCGTGCCAGACAGACATGGATCCATTACTGTCTGCTCGTTGGAAGTGAAGCAAAAATAATTAGGGCTTTGAGCCTCATTCTTCAAATACCTGGCCTGTATTACTGTTGTGCAAATTAGATTGGATGTTTGTGTGAAGGGTTTAACACAAGGCTGGCTCCTATTATGTTCTCACTATATGATATAATTCTTAGTTAAGAATGATTTGTCATTATTAATGCTAATAATAAATATCAACCCTTTTAGAACAGTCCCCCAAATTAACCACATACTGATATCAAATGGCATTAAAACTACCATGTCTGAGAATGATAATTATTAAATCGAATAATAATTTGCAGAGTATTAATTTTGTCACACAATAAAGCCATACCCTCCAGTGTTTCTGAAGGGCAAGCTGCACAGCCTGCAGAGCTCGGGAGACTGTATTTTTCTCGTTCTTCCATTGGCTCCCTCTGCTGTCATTTTTGTTGCTCTGAGTCTCTGCAACACGATGCTGTGTTTGCTTGGTCATTAACAAATCGTCTGTGCTTAATGTGGTGTGTGGCACACTGAGGCTCGAGGAAGAACTATTTTCTACACAGAAGTCTAATCTCCTGGCAAAGTTAATGCCGAGCAATCTTGGTGGAGGTTTAAGAAAGGTTCCTGACCTCTCTAAAGGGACTGGCTATGCTTAGTAAGAATACTTTGTCTTTTGGTCTCTGGGAAGAGATCGTATTTCTGGGTGTAGAACAGTACTGCAAATACTTAAAAATTTTTGGAAGCCCAATTTCTAAAGGGAGGGTGTGTGTGTGTGTGTGTGTGTGTGTGTATGTTTCAGTATAGTTTAGTGTGTGTGTGTTTCAGTATAGTTTAGTAGTGAAATACTTCCATAATTCCCAGCAATGAACTGCCCATAAATTTTGGAAGCCCAATTTCTAAAGGGAGGGTGTGTGTGTGTGTGTGTGTGTGTTTTTCAGTATAGTTTAGTGTGTGTGTGTGTGTTTCAGTATAGTTTAGTAGTGAAATACTTCCATAATTCCCAGCAATGAACCACCCATAAATTAGTGACCAGATATAATTTCTAAAAAATGGCTCCTAGTTTAAATGGGGGGTGGGGGTGTCAGCTCAGAGAAGTGAAAGACTGGAGGTGATGTTGATTTCGGTGGCTCAAGCTTTGCTTAGGTGTCTTCACAGCGTATGGGCTTTTGAGAAACTCCCCTTGGCTTCTATTACCTAAGAGTTCTTGGTTCTTGTTTTCCACCTGCAAGGCTACTCTTTTCCCTTTTTCTGCAAGCTTTTATATGATGTGTTGTTCGGTGCAGTTGGTCAATTCTGACTCATAATGGCCCCATGTGACAGAGAAATGCCCTAGGGGGATTTCTAAACTATAATCTTTATAGAATCAGATCTCTAGATCTTTCTCCCAAGCAGTAGTGGCTGGATGGGCTCAAACTATCAATCCTTCAGTGAGGTGTGTCCTCCCCCTCACCAACTCCCAGCCCCATAGAGCTTTATTACTATAGCAACAGGGCTCTTTCTTTCTGCATTGACCTCTTCACAGGTGACTATCCTCAGGGTTTTAATGCCTTAGGCCTTTCTTTTCATGTTTACAGTTTCAGTAATCTCATCTACCCTTTGTTCAGTTTTATCTTGTAACACCCTATTTTCTCTATTTAAGAGACACATCCATTTAAATACAAATGCTATAATTAATGTAAGAGAAGGTTTCATAAAATTCATGGGAAATTTCGTATTCCTCAAACTTACATAGTGGTCTGAGGGGCTTTAAAAAAAAGAAAGGAAGAAAATAGACTTGGAATCTTTAGTGACAAATTCATCTCAAACAATCAAATGAAAAAAAGTTTGTGAAAAATCTCATTACTTTACAATTCCATTTTTCCCACAAACTTTTTTGAGGCTGCCGCCCCATGTCCATTTTCAACGGCTGGTCAGCTTGTGAAGGGCAGGGCATGCCAGTATACAAGTATGTGGGGCTATGCTTTCTTCTACTCCAATGGGGCAGTACTTGCCAATATATCTGCTAATTCCACCCTGGTCTCTCTCTTTTAGATATTATATAATGTTCTGATTAGTAGTATTTATCCAGAAGGTTTTTTTAAAGGGGGGTAGTACTTGAGGTACTGCAAAAATACTAAAAAAAAATCAGCAGCTAATTTTATGGCTGTGAGGCAGGTGATCGGATCAAAGAAACATATGGTGAACATCACAATCTAATTAGGGAATGGCAGAAGTCTTTTGCAATTATGAAGGGTATCATCAACATTGTAGCCTGGGAGGAAATGCCTGGTAATTGAATGAATGAATGAATCAAAGAACAAATGACTAATATGAGGTTGACTGGCCTTCCTTAACTTAAAGGGAAAATTAATGTTTCCAATAAAACACGTAATACATTCATTGATGAGCTGCAGTGTGGG